TGAGCCTCTAGGAGCCTTGGCTGCTGGCAGCCATGCTGAGGCCAGTAGAGAGGGGACATGGTGCCTGGTCCCTGCAGCCCCCAGCCACTGCCTCCCTCCACGGGGCAGCGGGAGCCTGCCCCCTCCTGACCTCAGGGCATCCCGCACGGGCCTCCTTCTTCCCCCTAGTCACCCTCCTTCAGGCTCTGGGACCCCCTCTGACCCCGTGGGCCCCAGCAAGTCTGACCTGTGTCCCTTCCAGGGTGGAGACCCATTATCTAAATCTGGTTCATCAAGGAGAGGACGCAGGGCCTGGCTTACTTCAAAGACGTGATGAACAGCCAGCACTTCCAGATAATGGCGTTCTTCAGAGAAGAGCTCCAGGGCAGGAGGGGCCGTTAGGACGGCAGCCTGGCCACATAGGGGCTGCCCGCCTGCATGGGCACCTCTGGTAGCAGCGCTCAGGCTTTGGGTCAAACTGCATTGCACCCTGTTCACTGATCAGGGTGTGTGTGTGTGTGTGTCTGTGTGTGAGCCTGCACTGTCTGCCACCATCACTGTCAGCTGACCTCTCTTGGTCACTCTTTTTTTAAAAAAATAATTTCTTTATTTTTGGCTGTGCTGGGTCATTGTTGCTGCCCAGGCTTTTCTCTAGTTGCAGTACATGGGCTTCTCACGTGGGATCCTCCTGGACCAGGAATTGAACCTGTGTCTCCTGCATTGGCATGCGGATTCTTTACCACCGAGCCCCCAGGGAAGCCCTCCTGGTCACTCTTCCTCCCCCGTCCAATATCCTGAACCCTCAGGCCCTGGCCTCTTCCCTTCCTTCCCTGGACCCCCACCACTTACTGCCTCAGCCTCACTCAACACGTTTCAACACCCCTACTCGTGGCCAGCCCCCACTAGCCAGCACCTACTCCATGTCTTTCCCGCCGGTTCATCGTGGGTTCCTTCCCCTGACAAGTCACCAGCCTGCCGGGTCTTTTCCTGATGACATTGCCCCATGCCCACTTTCCTTCCTTGGCATCATGTCCCTCCTAACTCTGCACCTGCTGGGCTCTGGGACGGTCCCCGACACCCGTCCTCCCCGTATCCTGGCTGGGTGAAGCCCACCCTGGGAGCCCAACGCTCGGCTTCGTGTGCACCTGCCCCACCATGAGCGGGGCAGAGGCCAGGGTCGTGTGGGGGCTGGTCTCGCCTTCACATTATCACAACAGACCACAAGGGCCCTCAGGGACGCCCAGACCCCTCCCCAGGGTCCCCGGGTCGCCGCACTCCTCCCTGCTCCAGACAACATCTCCCAGGTGTCTTCTCTCCTCACCGCCCACCCCGCTTTCCTGTGTAGGACAACCCTCCACCCTGAGCAAAGTCCCGCCCTTCCCTAGATTGCACACGTCCCAGGTGGACAGAGCCGGGAAGTCCTGGATGCGGGTGCGATGCGCCACTGCCCGCTGCTGGGGGCTTGGGTGCAGCTTCTGAGCCTCTGGCTCCCGTAGGGAGAGGCCGGGCCCAGGGAGCTGGAAGGGGCACACGCCCTGGGGTGCCGAGGGCCGCAGCGAGAGACCAGCCGATTCTAGGATGAGTGCCTGTGCGGGGTGGGGGCAGGGGGACCCTGGCCATGCTGGGGAAAATGGAGGCCCCCTCGGGAGGGACTGGGGGGCTGGTTCGGGGTGAGGACGACAAGATGGGAAGGTCACTGGACCCTGGAGATCAGGCACAGAGAGCTGGGGCCCTTTCAGTTGGTGTGGTACCTCCCACCCCCACCAAGCCGTCAAATGCTGGAGGTCCTTCCTCCGAGGCTGAGAAGACAGGGCATAGGGGGGAGGTGTGTCTGGGGGTTTCCCCACCATCCACCAGCAGAGCAACTCTGCCCTCCAGGACCAGGGGGTGGGTGGGCCCCCTTTCCTTGGATCCTTCACCCCAGGGCTCCCAGGCATGTGGGCGGCTCCTGCCCCAAATGGTATTCACAGGCACCTGTGCCTGAAGGTTCTGGAGGGCCCCACCTGTATGTGGGTCTTGGCAGGCAGGTTCCAGCCTGGGGTTGTCCCTGGGGACAGCGGGCAGGTGTCCTGTCTGTGCCCAGAGGGCCCCGGCTGAGACGACAGCTTTCCCGACGCGGGCTTGGTCGGCGGGCCTCAACTTCCCGGACCCACCTTCACGAGTCTCCCCTGCAGGCCGCACCCCGGATGAGAACCCAGAGGCCCTGAGACTCTTCGAGGGTTTTGTGGAGCGCAGAGGGCTGGACAAGACAGAAATCACCCACCGGGCCCAGGCTGCTAACGGGAACGTGTGTCTGTTTCTTCCGACCTTTTGGCTGTGATCTCCTAAACCCAGGAAGTGACTTGGCCTGGCCTTCCTCATGTACCCTGGCAACCACGTGAAAAGCCTGGAGCAACACGCAGGGCCCCTCACCGCGCTATCTCCCCGCTTCTGCAGGTATCTGTCAGTTACACCGCGTTTCCTGACACAGGAGCAGCTCAGGATGCAGAATCACAGGGGCCCTGCAGCCCACCTCCTCCCGCTGGTGCTTCCGAGTGACCTGCACCCCTTCCCTCCCAGAGTCAACCCCCCAGCGCCCCTCAGTCTGAGTGCCCAGGCTGCCCGTTTTCCCTCTGTAGCCATTCCCTTCACTGTCTCCAGTTTTGCCCTCTGTGAGACGCGTGTAAGATATTCGCTTCTAGGCTCCTCTGTGAAGTTGGTCTTGATCCTCTGAGATGCACGTGGGAGAACTCTCCATTGCGTGTCTTCTCAATAGAACCCCAAGGTAGGGTCTGCGATCGGCAGGGGAGTCAGACAGTGTTTTCCTAGGGAACTGGTTAGGGTTCCCCTTTTGACTAATAGATGAGCTGTGCTAGAAGTCCTGGGCTCTGACCCCTGGGGGCCTTAAAGATCAGGGCATTGAGGACACACAGGTCCAGGCGCTTCTGGAGGTGCTTGGAAAAGGCAGCAAAGTCCAGGGGACTGTCCAGTGAGAATCAGCCCTGCCAGCGGTCAGGGCGATCTTTCCAGGTCAGCGCTCAGAGGTCTTCCTCCCTTCCCTCATCTTGCTCATTTTCTTCCCCAACAACATTGTGTCTACTCATGTGGACCGTCATCACCTATCCTCTCCCCTAGTGGAGGGAGCTGGGATGTTTCCAGTCTTTTGCTCTGATGAGGAAGGTGCAGGAAATAAAACATTTGCATTTCAAGTGTAGAGGTGTTTCTACAGCATAGAATAAAAGTTCCTCTTTGTATACAGCTCGAGTATTCTTTTAGCTTATCAGTTCTTTCGTGTGTGTGTGTGTGTGTGTGTGTGTGTGAGAGAGAGAGAGAGAGAGAGAGAGAGAGAGAGAGATTATAACCAGAACTGAGTATACTTCCTTGTGCTTAAGTCTCTGTTCATTTTTTTAAGTGAATGACAGTGTCTTTTGTGCATATTCTCTGCATGACTGCTTTTTTCTTTTTAAAATCTAAGCGACTTTGTATAAGGCCGTCAAGCCTCTGTGCCTGTGACATGGGGTGCAGGTATCTGTCCCAGCTGATTGTTTTATGTGCTTTACCTGTACACATTGTCAAGATGTCAGTTTTTTCCCAATCTGTTAATATCTATACATTAACACCTCCTTTATAATACCTCAGCAGACATCTCGGGGAGAAACTGATGTGATGATTTGAACGTTTACATAAAAATACAAAGGCTGAGAACACGTCGGATGACTTTGAAGAAGACAGTGGAAGGCTTCACCAGCAGGCATCCAGACTTCTTGCGAAGCTCCAGGACTTGGAGCAGTGGGGCGGGGCCAGGCACACAGCCAAGGCAAGGATGGGGTCCAGCCCAGACCCGCACAGGGCGACGGTCACGACTCTGACCAGCCTGCTGAGGGGACCCAGACCTAAAGAGCAGACCCTGCATCCTCCCACGTAAGTGCAGTCCAGCACAGGCACACGGGCATCGCACTTATAACTGAGAGGCACTGCAGAGCAGTGGGGGGACGCTCTCAGCGAACGGTCCAGGCCTACCTGTTACTCATTTGGGAAAAAAATTCATCTTGGCTCTCATTTCACATCATAAATAAAGATCAAGGTGGAGACAGTGCTAGGAGGATAGACTCTGTATGATTTCAATACCTTTAAGACCATGGAATTTTTGCACCTTGTTTTATGTCCCTGGATATGTCCCAGTGTGTCCTGCTTCACACTCTATGGGAACTTGAATAGAATTTGCATCCTACTGTTGTGTGACATTTGTATAGAGCTTAATTATGTTGAATTGGTTCATGGTGCTTTTCAGGTCTACCATATCCTTCTACTTCTCTGTATATTTATTCTAGTAATTTTGGGGAGTTTGATATTAAAACTTCAACTAAAAAGCTTAATTTATTTACTTTTTAAAAAATAGTAATATATAGTGGAACCATACTAGCTCTATATTTTCCAAGTCTCCTATAAATATTAAATGTGTTATCATCCTTTCATAATTTAAAAAAATAAAATAAAAAACACTTTTAGAAAAGTTTTATGAAACAATGTAAAATGATGAAATACTAGATGTACAAAAATCAGGTGTGAACACTGTAAACACAGCATGACCTTAATTAGGCAAAATAAAAGCACAAATACTTAAAAAAAAAGATCAAGGTGGATATTGGGTCTGGGTGTGAGAGTTTAAAATGATGACAGTTCTCATAGCACACTTTTATTCTTGGAGTAAGCAAAGACTTCTGAGAACACAGACTACACTAACAAAAGGGAAAATTGGTACATTGGATCTTTATAAAATTAAGAAATTCTCTAGACCAAACGACACCATCATGAGAGTCGAAGTGGCCCGAGCAGAGAGGACAAACACCTTCCCTATTGACACCATCTGCTGGGCCTCATCCAGGATTTCCGAATCGAGCAGGTGGCGTGTGCGCGGAGCACCTGTGTTTCTGACTGGTAGCTGATGCTACTGATGACTCGAGAACCGCTGTTTCAGAGGATGCGTGGAATAGCCACTTGGCAGTCTTTGATGTGCTGAGACCATCACAAAGCTGGAAAAGATCTACATCATATTCTGAGAACATTTTCTCTGCCTGAGGCAGAAGCTTTTTCATTTACTGCATGGTTCAAATGCCCCGTCAGCCTTGTTCATATCCTTCCACCCACCAGAGACGGACTTGTCCATTGCATAGGAGCCTCAGGTCTCTTTGGAAGCTATCCCTGCTCTTAATAAAATTAGGCTCCAAAATCATTTTTTTCAAGCCATTAATGCACATGTAAAATGTAACCTTGTTTTACAGCCAAACTTGAAGTTACTAAAAATTTATATTTCTGCAATGTTGAAAGTATCTCTTATTGTACAGAGTGGGCTTTCCTATAGCAGCCAGAGGAAATGTAATGGTGAAATACTGCACCTGTGCTGGGTAGCATGTCTGAGCAGAAGTGCAGGGAAAGAGTAAGTGTATCTTTAGAAAGTACTGAAACTGCACTCCTCGCGTGGGACTCAACCCACCCGCAACTCAGGTGGAACTTAAACCCACAATCCCTGACTTAGGAGGGAACTTGAACCCACTGTCTTTTCACTGAAACCATTAACCAGGTGTCAGGACTTACTGAAGCTCATGGTTTTTTTGTCTCATCACAGAAAGAACTGAACGCGAGGCAAAGTGGGAGGCAAAGAGTGAGTTTATGAGCATCCGTGCTTGAGAGACATACAAGTGGACAGGAGAGCAGGCTGTGCCTTGAGGACTGAGAGGGCTTTATTTTTGTAAACAAAAGTGGGCAGGGGAGACCCCCACCTTCTTCCTCATTCTTGGGCAGACTTCAAGGCTTACATCATTAGTTCCTCTTCTGACCCTATAGGGTCTAGCTGGACTGTCATGGCACTATTTAAATCAAATGTACAGTTAGCATAAGGATGGTAACACAGACTAAAACATGATAACTCATCTCAGCTTTCAGCATAATGTCCTCTTTCACCTAGTTTTTCCCCTTGCACCTACAGTTCTGTCTTGGCTACATGCGGAAATGCCACCCTTCAAGAACTATCAAGCCCCTGACTTCACGGAACGAGATTCAGAAACCCCAAATCTTGTCTTGTGCTTTAACTCTCTGGGATTGTGGCTTGAGGCTTGAGTGTTCCTGGCGCTTGGATGCACCTGTCTTCCTTCAAAGTAGTGCAGATTGTCACTAGGTTACTGGATTGTCTTCTTTTTCTTTTTTAAAATAATATTTTGGGGTTTTTTTTCATTTATTTTTATTAGTTGCAGGCTAATTACTTTACGATATTGTAGTGGTTTTTGCCATACATTGACATGAATCAGCCATGGATTTACATGTGTTCCCCATCCCGATCCCCCCTCCCCCCTCCAGTTTCATCCATCTCATTAGAACTGATTCAAATGAATTCTTTTTAATGGCTGAGTAATATTCCATGGTGTATATGTACCACAGCTTCCTTGGATTCTCTTGAGTGGTCATTAGCTTACAACAGTCTCCCAAATGCCCTTAAACTTTCTGTTCTGTCTTTACCCCCAGTGGCATTTCTAAGTATCCTCCTCTATCCCTGTCAGTGGCTGTGGTGATGGCGGTTTAGTTGCTAAGTCGTGTCTGACTCTTGAGACTCCTCAGACTGTAACCCGCCACACTCCTCTGTCCATGGGATTTCCCAGGCAAGAACACTGGACTGGATTGCCATTTCCTTCTCCAGGGGATCATCCCAACCCAGGAATGGAATCCACGTCTCCTGCATCACAGTCTCCTGTACTTCAGGCAGATTCTCTCCCGACTAAGCCACTGGGGAAGCCATTCCTATCAATACAACCTCAAAAAGGGGATTCAACAATTTATACTCAAACAGCCATGAATGAGAGATCTGAAATGCCCACATCCTCACCACCACTACAGGATGTTTTTATCTCAACCACTCTGGTGTTATGTGTGATGATATCTCGCTATGGCTTTAGTCTGCATTTTCCTAAAGCAATGTACCTAAGGAGTAATAATGTGCATATCACCACCATTTGGTGACTTTTTTTGGGAAATGCCTAGTCAAATCTTCTGTCCATTTTTTTCTGATGAAATTGTCCACATAAGTAAGTCTGTGTTGGTCTCGATTTAAACAGCTTCACATAGAATTACTTTTTTTATTGTGCGTCTTTTTTTTAAGTTATAACATTTAATTTACCACCTTAACCATGTTAAGTGCACAGGTCAGTAGTGCTCAGTACATTTACACTGTTGTGAAACAAATCTCCACCCAGAGCTTTTCATCTTGCAAATCGGAAACTCCACACCCCAAACAAGACTCCCCCGTCTCCCCTGCCCCCAGGCTCCTGGTAAGCACCATTCTAGTTTCCATTTCCAAGAGTAAGACCACTTTAGATGCCTCCTAGAAGTGGATTCAACAGTGCTTATCTCTTGTGAATGGCTTATTTCACTTATCATAATGTCCTCAAGATTCATCTATGACATATACCAGGATTTCTTTCCATTATAAGGTTGAATAATATTGCACTGTATGACTCAACCACATTTGTTTATCCATTCATTCACTACTGAACATCGGGGTGCTTCGACCCCTTGGCTATTGTGAAATATGAACATGCAAATTTCTCTTCCAGACTCTGCTTTCAATTCTGGATATATACACAGAGTTGGAATACTGGATCACAAAGCAATTGTATTTTTAATTTTTTAAGTCATCTCCATACTGTTTCCCATAGTGGTTATGCCTTTTAAAACCATATCAACAATGCAGGCGAGTCCCAGCTTCTCCACATTTTTGCAAACACTTGGTATCTTCTCTATTTTTAATTAAGCAGTCAGCCTCATCTGATGTGTGAGATTTTATCTCTTTGTGTTTGGGGTTTATACTGCTCTAATGATTAGTGATTTTAAGCACATTTTCATATGCTTGTTGGCCACCTGTGTATCATTGGAGAAACGTCTATTCAAGTCCTCTGGCAATTTTTCAACAAGTAGGAGTACTTCACTCCTTCTGGATATTAACCCACTGCTAGATACACGATTTTCAAATATTTCCTGCGGTGCTGCGGGTTGTCTCTTCATCTGCATGTCCTCTGACGTGGGCCTATCTGACCACTTTGCTGGTGGTGTTTCCTGTGACCGCTGTCACGTACAGAAAGTCATTATCAATCAGTGTCGTGAGCGCTTCCCCTTTTATTTCGGGAGTTTCACAGATTTTGGACTTTTGTTTCAGTCTTTAATCCATTTTGAGTTAATTTTTGTATGGGATAAGGGCCCATTTTTGTTCTTCTGCACATAAATATCCAGTTTTCCCAACACCATTTGCTGAAGAGACTGTCCTTTCCCCATTGTGTCCCTGGCTCCCTAGTGTTCTGGAGTCAGGAGGTGGCATCCTCCTACGTTGCAATTTAAAATTTTGTTTTGGCTGCTCAGGTTCCCTTGAGATTGCAAACAGATTTTAGATAAATATTTCTATTTCTGCAAATAAAATGCAAAGACTGCTAGAGATTGCACTGACTTTGTAGATTGCTTTTGGTAGTATGAACATTGTAGTGACACTGTCTTTTAAACTATGCACATGAGGTTTCTTTCCATTTGTTTGTGTCTTTAATTTCAGCCACGTCTTGTAGTTCTCGGTTTACAAGTCTTTCACTTTCTTGGTTAGATTTCTTCCTAAGTATTTTGTCCTTTTGATGCCATCGTAAATGGAATCTAAATTTTAGACTGTTGAGTCTTAGCATACAGAAATGCAACTCATTTGTGGGCTGGCTTTGTGTCCAATAATTCTGCTGAATTACTTTATTAGTCCTACAGTATTTTCTGGTGAAATCTTTAAATAAGAGTCCCCACATACAAGATCACATCATATGAAAATAGAGGTAATTTGCTTCTCCCCTACAAACTTGAATATCTTTCCTTTTTCATGCCTAACTGCCTTGGCCAAGACTCCCAGTACTGTGCTGAATATAAATGGCAGATCAACACCATTGCCTTGTTCTTGCTTTTAGAGAAAATACGTCAGTCTGCCATCACTCAGTGTTAATTTAATGTGGGTTTCTCAGAAATGGCCTTTATTATGATGAAGTAGTCTCCATTTATTCCTAGTTTGTTGAGTCCTTTTTGTCATGAAAAGGTGTTGAATCTTGTCCTGTCCCTTTTCTACATCAGTTCAGATCATCGTGTGGATTTTGTCCATCTGTGAATGAGGGGGCAGTGGCTTGGGTTCATTCATTTACTCTTGCATGCATTGAGCGTCTGTGCACTATTCCCTGCTGGGTGCAGTCAGATGAAATATCACATCTTATATCCTAGATGCCACTGATTCCTCGGAGCTCACGGCCACAGGTGGCAGCATCTCAGCCACGGCCTCGGGGCGGGGGAGGTGGGGCGGGCAGAGCCAGGGCATCTCCAGCACAACATCTTGCACCAGCTGTGGAGCTAGAGCGGGCTCTGGAGTCAGCTCCAGGGCCGGAGCCCCCTGAAGCGCTAGGAAGTGCCCCATTCATAGACTAGTGCCCACCCTGACAGCAACTATTGAGCTGCAGCCAGTGCCAGCTCCAGACTAGAGCCGGCTGCTGCTCAAACAGACCAGCTCCAGAACAAGAGCAAGCTCTGGCTCTAACTCCAGAGCTAAGGCCATCTCCATCACCAACTCTCCCACCAATTCTCGCACCACCACCAGGCTCGGAGCCGGCCCCAGTATCAGCTCCCATTCGGGAGGCAGCCCTGCGCTGCGGGGGAAGGCTGCAGGATGAGTCTCTCTTCGGGAAGTCACACGGAAAGGCAGTCCTTTCCTCCTCCTGCTGCTTCAGCGACATCTCAAGATCTAGAGCGGGGCTGGCTCCAGCACCAGGTCTATTACCATCTGAGATCTAGATCCAGCTGCAGAAACAGCTACAGAACTAAAAGCAGCTCTAGACTAGAGTCACTTCTGTCACTGGCTGTAGTGCCATCTTCAGCAGACCCCCGGGAACTGGCACCCACGGCACAACCAGTTATAGCAGCAGTTTGGAGCCTGGCCAACGTCTGCACCAGGACCAGGAAGACAGCCAGAGTCCTCACAGGACTGTTTGCCCCCTGGGTAAGTAGAGGCACATCTGATACATGCAGGAAAGCTAGGGTTACCTTGACCTACAAAGATAGGGTCACCGAGAGCCCCACAGTTTGGACCAACATGGACTAACGTCAGCTCTGTCGCCAGCTACTGAGCTAGAGCTGGGGCCAGCTCAGAACCAAAGCCCCTTGCACCCAAACACGGGGACCTGCTCCACAATGGAAGCCTCTGCAGGTGCTGGTTCTTGCACTGAATTTGGGAGTAATACCAGAGACCTAGAGTCAGCCTCAGCACTAGAGTCAGGTCGAGAGCCGGTTCGAACACTACGACCAGAGACAGGGCCGGCTTCAGCCCCAGCGTGGGCACTGCTCCTGGGCCAGACCCTCGGCCGGGCCAGCAGCATCTCAGCATCAGCCGCAGCTCCCTCTCTGGGGCTGGCTCCACCTCTGTGATGCCTTCAGCTCCAACAACTGACCTCCAGCCCCAGCAGCTCCAGCCCCAGAGCTCGCTCACCTGCCCAGGAAGCAAGTTTTTCTTACTTTTCTCTTGTATGTCATCTTTGGTTTTATATTTCATGTGTTCAAATTCAAATTCAATGACAATTAGCCCTGCAATTGTTTTAAATTGTACAATTCAGCAGCATTAACCACATTCTCTGTGCTGTGCGCACCATCGCCCTCTAATTCCAGACACTTTTATCTCCTCAATGGGAACCCTGCACCCATTAAGCAGTCACGCCCCAGTTCCACTCCCTCAACCCCTGACAGTCAGGAGTCTGCTTCCTGTCTCTATGTTTCCGTCTCCCTGCTCCATAGCCCCTTCGTGAGTTCAACTGACCCTCCA